TCCCACAGCTGCTGGCAAAGGTATCATAGCATCTCATAACTACTGTAGTTTAGTTTTTATGTGGAAATAGACGTGGTACTTACATAATTTGATGCACATAGCTCTGACCTCCATGATGCCGTGCTGCTGACTGTGTCGGCACGTGACAAATGTCAAAGCAATAAGCAGGGGCATTTTCCTGTGTGGCTTCTTTCTGCACTTAAAGCAATGCTAAACCTTTAAAAATAACTTTCAAAGAAGTTGTTGCCTTCAAGTTACCAGCAGTGTTTCACTTCACTATGAAAGAGGCAACAAAGACAGAATAATGCTGCGTTTAATACTTTTAATTGTTTAAATTAGTGATGTTTACTTTATAATTTTATGTATTAGCATGCTAACATACATTTATTTGTACCAAAACTAATAAGCAACTTAAGATCTGAGTAGTAGAAAAGCCATCACCAAAACTTAAGTAATAAAAATCATAATAATATAATAATAATTAGATTTACTTACCCTAACATCTGCAATAATGAGAAGCAGTGACATGAAGTTGGTTACCAACTTGCAAGGTTAACTTGGCAAGCTAATAACCAGACAGGTTCACATGAAAAAGTTTCCCAGCAGCACTGTTGGTGAATTTACAAAGGAAGGTAAAACCACAATGTTTCAAAAAGCTGAAGAGGTTAAACACATAATAAAAAACAAAAGTAACACAGCCGCTGCTGTGTTAATACCACCATTTTTACTCTGCTCCGAGAGTAAAATATATATATATATAAAGTACATACAAACATAGGCTATTCTGTTCTGAGATGTAATAATTTTTTATAAAACAATAAGATTTAGGAATCTACATAGTTATTATTGATGCTCATTGGTAACAAACAAAGTCTTCAGATGTTATTATAAAATTCAGTCCCTTGCACTCTCCATGCACAGAGCTATGCTGTTTTCCAGAGAAATGATTGGTCAGTAGGTGGTAATTGGATATCTGTTGATCGCTAATGGCAAACATAACTTGCTCCAGAGTAGTTTAGGATTGCAGGATAAGTTAGCATAAGGATATACCCCTGGTAAGAAGTGGACCACCTTTGAAGTAAAGAAAACGCAGGGATAACGCTGAGATTACCATGATAAGACATAAGGCTGTTCTGTAATACAACAATGGAGGTGTGTTGATAACAACTAAGAATTTCCAAATCTGACTAAAACAGCATATTCATATATGTGGGATGAAGCTATTTGAATAATATGCCTATTTGTATACCCAGGACCTGTGTGATTGCAGAAATAAATGCACAAAAGATGATATCAGCATGGCCCTGATATAGCACTTTTGATCATAAACAAACATATGTGAGAATCCTTTTCTCTGATTACAGCTCTGAATGCAACACATTTGTCCTCAGTCAGCAAACTTTGGTCTTGGTTACTGTCTCTGATCAAATTGCCCACAGACAGCCATTATAAATTATAAATTATAAACTCCATTATATTTTTTTATTTTAAAAGCAAAACATCAGCTGTATTACCTACATATCAGTCTTATTTCAGTTCTGCTCAAGGCTCTCGAGGCATGACAGCATAGCTGCACAAAAGTCAAAAGGAAGAGTCTTTAGAGCGCCCCCTCCCTCTGAAGTGCATTCACTACATGCACAAATAATCTCTGCTTACCTTTCTATAAAAGTTGCCGCATGCCTCTGGTTTAAAATTGAATAGATTTATAATAATGGCAGCACGTTTCACAACAGTCCTACTCTGCTTCCTACTCTGTGTCATAAAACATTACACTGTGTTTTATTTTGTTTATTTTTCTTTTTTATGTTTTGTTTGTTTGTTTTTTTCTTCTTTCTGGCTATAAAATAAAGTTAGAGACAGTTTACACTGAGTACATATGCCTGATATCTTATTGGCACTAAAAGCAATACGCTTATGCAATGAAACTTCAGTGTCTTCATTATTTCAAATGTAAATAAATTGTATAAATGAATCATACATCCAATGTATCATACAATACATTGGATGTACGATCCTGAAGGATGTAGCAGGACTGGAAATTGAGACGATTGACAAATATTTCATGAACTGCTGTGAGACCAGATTGGGCAATGGCATGGTGGACAGAAGGTCTTCTTGTACTTTGATAGTTCCATATCTATTCTGAGGCAAACAGTTATATCAAATTATAGAATCTCATACAGTTGTGTAGATATGTGTACATATCAAAACAAGTCATTTTTTGTTCCAGAATTATTCTGTAAAAATGATTGTCACAGTGTTTAGGGTAATGCTGTCACAGTTGACGATGACCAACCGTGGGGAAGTGAGGAAGGAGGACCCAGGCGCAGAGCTCTGAATATCAGCAGTGCGTTTATTTACAGCGAATGGAAAATAACAATAAATCCCCGTGCTTTCCCCAGACTCCCGTGTCGTGTCTTCTCCCAGTGTTTGTGCTCTCCACTCCCGTGTCTCAGCACTCCCCGTGCTGCTGTCTGGCACTCCACACCTCTCCTGGGGACACAATAGAAGCAGCCGTCAGGACACATACAGCCACATACACACACTAACTAAGCTCAACCGGAAGATTACCGTGGAGTCACACGCAATGATCCCGCGCCAGAGGAAGCTCCATCGCTCTTCTAAATAGCTCCCCCGACAAGCTCAGATCAGCAGCAGGGGTGTGGCAAGGCTTCGTGTGTGGCCAGTCCCCTAGCAGGGCCACACCCACCATGTCTGAAGGTGCCTGTAACTTGGCCAAAGAAAACAGCTACAGACACATGCACACACCAACTAATAACAATAACAACAACAACAATGATAATAGTCCACACTTCTCACGGACCCCGAGTCCTCCAGAGCTGGGTCCGTGACAGATGCAGCCTCTCAAGACCACATAGAGGATAATTTAGACTTTAATTTAAAGACTTTTGAGTACATATTTGAGTACAAAAATATACAATATATATGAAATATAGAAGAACAATATAGAAGAATGTAATTATACATACACTAAAATAAAACATTATAAGAGGCTGTGACTGAGGTCATAGAGACAAAAAAGGTTCAATTTCATTTCTTAGTAATTATCACCAAGTTTAACTAACTAAGTTGAAATAAAATTACAAACAAGCACCAATGGAAAATTTAAAAACATGAAGTAAATAAACAGTGTACCTGCAATGTTCTTTTATATAAAAAGAAGATTAAGAAATACAGTCAATTCACCATCACCAAATAATCACACATCTTTGTCTGAGCTGACTGTTCATCTGGTTCAAATCATCTATACGCTGCAGTCGTTCCATTAGAGTTCCTCTCGTGTTGTGCTTCTGACTGACTCTTTGTTTGCAGCGTTGTTAATGTTGCTAGCCGCCCTGATTGCTGATTTCATTGATGTCTCGATCCAACCATGAGGGAAGGCTGTGTGCTCACCAGCAAAGTGCACCTTGCCCTCACTTTTAAAGAGCTCTGCAGCATATTCTAAGTGTTGGTAGGGTGTGAATAAAGCAAATGCAGCCAAACTATAAGGATCCAAGCTCCACTTCTTCACTATGACCCCTGTGCAGAGATCCCTGACCTTCTTGCCATGAATCTTTTTCAAATCTCTCAAAGCCAGCTCTTTAAGGTCTTCATTTGGACCTAGGAATAGTAGTGAGTTATCAGACCAGGTGTAGGAAGCCAAAAGGACCCCGAAGGTCTTATTTGTTGGGAAACTGTGGGGTAGTAAATGAAACGAGATGGTCCATCTGTGATGCTCTTCCCCCCTTGGATGCCGTCATCCTCCCAGAACCTGTTTTTGAAGGTGAGCAGGACTTTAGTGGAGCTGTCGTAATGGACAGACCTCAGGGCATCCATCTTTTTAATGGAGAGAGGGGGATCGAAATCTATGAAAAGAGCCGCTTTGGCTGTTGTTGTTACCAGAACAAAGTCAGCTTTAAGATCAGTAAAGTTAGACTTTTGGCCTCTTTGATATGACACAGTAACTTCATCTGAATGGCTAATACGCTTGACTGTAGAATTAAGAAGAATGGTGGCATTAAGGCTTTCCTTTAAAGCTTTGGTGAGAAGGTCTGACCCACCAGTCACTTCATAGTACCTTTAAAAAAAAAACAGATATACATTTTAGCATGAATTCTGTAGTAATCAGAGTAGTAAATGTTTTAACATTTAAGTGTCTATTTCACTGATTTAAACAATAAAATATAAAATGTACAAGCGCAAAGAAAACTCTTCCTTCAACTGCGTGACTGATATCCTTGATTTTGAAATCCAGTTAATAAACATGTCTCTTAACAGGTGCCATTTTGGGGTCCCTATACACACACATAATCAACATTATTTACAGGAAGTTTTACTCCGCGAGGCTCCAGACTACGGGAACCGTAATGCTCCGACAATCCATCAAGCGGTGCTGCTTTGTAGCTTAGCAAAGTCGTATTAAAACCTTTTTTAACAGATTTGAGTGCTGTGTACCACATAAAATCGTTTTGAGGTCGGTAAGCACAACCAAAATTCATACATACAGTAAGGCGCACTGTCAATTTTTGAGAAAATGTAAACATTTTCAGTGTGCCTTATGGGCCGAAAAATACGTTACTGTTGACTCCTGCTGACAGCAATACAGCCTAAAGTCACATTTATTTATTTATTTTTTAACAGAAATGACACAGACTAAAAAAGCTAAAACGACA